GCTGTAAAGGGCTGACCTGAAATCCGTTGCCAGCATGCAATAAATATTTGCACAGTTCCATTGTAACTTCATTCATCTATCTCTACTGCAAAACTTGAATCATTTAGCAGTTTCCCCCTCTTACCCAAGGGCTTCAAGTTCCTAGACAGAAATTTAATGAAGCCTCTGGAAATCCCCAGTCCAATATCCTCTGTTAACACCCCCGTATTCAGCTGGAGTTTTTCAGCTTGACCCATGTATGAAACCATCTGTGATGAGAGCAGCAGAAAAGAGAAAGATTTGCTCCACGCATCCTCTCCTCTACAGGAATACCCCCATAGCTGGGGGACAGCCAGTCCCAGGCCTCACATGTGGACTTTTACACAAGCCCCAGCACCATGAGAGTTCAGACAAATGGTTCATTGGATTATGCCCAGTAAAGGACAGCACTGGAGCTATGGGACCAGAAATGTAACTGGTGTCAAGTCTTTCCTCTGGTATGTTGCTGTGTCCTACCCACCTGAATCTCTTTATTACATCCTTTAGATGTTGACTTTGCTTCCTGCCACTAAATTCGTCGGACAGGCTTCCTTGCTATTATGGTAGTTACAAGGTACATGGTTAGAGGCACATTTTATAGTGTGCCTAAACAAGGACTTAAACCTATAAATCTATGTAAGAAGCACATTACATTTAGAACAAGAAGTGAGCAAGGAGGGAAGTCTTGAAAGGCCACTTTCAAACAGTCCTTGTTTATCCCTGACTGAGGCCAAACCTTTAACACAAGTCTGCCAACAAGCCCTAAATCACCTGCAAAAGCAAAAGGCACCTTAAAACCAAAAGCACTGGTAGGTCTGTGTTTCTTGCCAAGAGTCCCACTCCAAAGCTTTCCAAAATTAAATCACCAGTTACAACCTTGTAAAAGATGAAAAAATCTTGGATTTGGGGTTAATATGTAATGCTCCTTTTGAAAGGGGAGTGGAGGCAGCCAGAGAGTATAAATGTATGTACGTACAAAGGGTTGAATCCTAAAGAAAAAATTCTAACAAAACAAATTGCTTTCAGTTTAATGTTTTGGGTTTTTTTCATTTTCTGATAGAGGACAAACTAACTTTAAATGCTAGCAACAAGGAGGAAGAGTATTCCTTCTAGATGCAGAGTACTGCTGGGGAAGCAGAGAACAGGATTGAACAGATTTCTCATCAAAACCTGTAAGCCTGAAAAGAACTATCAGGCAAGAGCAGCTGTTGGTGACTTCTGGAGTGAACTCACCTTGAGACCAAAGCAAAAAGCCCAGGTTCTTCATCTTTACAAGTCCCTTGAAATAATAAGAGGAAGGATGCACATATATTTAGGTTAATTCATTCAGAGTCTAGGTGCACACCCCCTTACCTTCAGCCATACAGAACATAAATATTCACCAGGAAATGGAACAGGGCAGGGGAGACCAGAAAAAACACTGCACATCTTGTGAGTCACAGCAAGCCATAACAGAGGATTCATTAACTGGATTCAGGTGATCCTATTAACTTTGCAATTGCTGCACATCAGGCTGCAGAGTAATTAGGGCTGCAATTCAGAAAGATTTACCAGAACATTTTTTATTAAAACACAGTGGTTGTTAATCAGCCTGACTAAAGCCTTCAGAGCTATTAGCCTGCTGCACAGAAGTCGTAATTACTTCATCCACTGGGGAAGAAGGCATCAAAGAAATTGCCTGGGATCCTCTGCAGGTTTAGAGGACCAAAGGAAGACTGAGGAATTTAATGGGACATCTCCCTCTGGCACCACCACAGGTTTTTGATCAAGTTTCCAAGTGGAGCATTTGAGAGGCCATCAGACAATGTCAGAACATCAAGCCTACACAGGAAGGATTTGCCATCGGAAGTATGCCAAGGCAACACCCAGACGTATTAGCTGACTCACAGTTACTGTATAAGTCCTAATTGCTGCCTAAAAGTTTAGTGGTCCACCTGAATTACATGATCTCTATCTGCTGAGGATGTTTGGCCATCCTGCAGCATCTCAGAGAAGCAGGGCCCACATTTCCTCTTCCGGAGGCAGAGCATGTTTCAGTGCAGACAGACTCAACTGCTCCAGAGAGGAGTAAAGGGCATCTCCTGCCAGCAGCATCAGCTCCTGGGCTTTCCAGTGCATAGCTAGCTATAGAATACCAGGATACATTCCAGCTCCAGTCCCTCACCTCACTTCCACCAGGTTAAGGCAGGTTTGACTCAGGTGACAGACAGCTGGCCTCAACTCTGGCCACAGGACTGAGAAAGAGCAAAGCATTTGGGCACCTGCTGCCTCGCCCTGCTCTGCTTCCCAGACACTACACACACAGCCCTGCATGAGGGCAGGGGGGCAGAGGCACCAGCACAGGCCAGAGAAGAAATTATTTCCCTCTCCACTCTTTCAGACCAGACTTGGTGAGTGTAGCACAGGGGCTCTGTGAGTCAGGCTGACCTTCCTCTGCCACCAGCACTGCCTATCCCCTTTCCTAGCTCATTTTGCTCAGAGATTTACTACCAGTACACAGAACATCCTTTCCCAGTTTCACTCCCAGCCCAGCATCTGGCAGGCACACTCCTGCTGGGAGGGACCCAGCAAACTCCACTGGCCAGCTGATAGACCATGAGACCACACTGTGATAGCTCCTCTGCAGGGAACCCTGCCAGACCCTCCAAAACCAACACCCTCGCCCGTATTAAGCAATACAGTTTATCAACAGTCAAAAGGGAAGCTCAGAAAGGAGAACATGATAAAAAAGCAAGTGGAAACACGTGTGCACACACAAGCTGTGAGGACATGGAAATGACATTGGGACAGTAACAAGTAGCCAGCCCTGACCACAGGCTCTGGGAGGGGGCAGGTCTTGTTAACCAGGCACCTTCAGAAGAGATACTTTGACTTATATGCTCTGCAGAGTCAAGACTTTGATGGATTCTGCTTTGCCGAGGTTTCTTAACAAATGCCCCAGTGCCCAGCCTGGGCTTGTGCCAGTGGGAATAGCCCAGTGGACCTCTGACAGGGTCTCCTGCAAAAATGTCCTGCTCAGACACAAAGCACAGAAAGCATAGAGGAGTTTCTAACCTGTGCAGGCTTTACTTCTGCAGATGACTATTCCATTTTAATAAGTAAGCTAAATTAACATGTTAAATATCTTACTATTCTAAGGGGAGAAGGTAGAGGAGGCTTTGCCAGCTTCCCCTCCTTGAGCACTTCGAACACTTTTGCACATCCGCCCTACAGGGAAGCCTGTACAGTGTCCAAACCTGGGCTAGGCTTTGCATCATTAGCCATGTACAACACCTAGCACAGGAGTAATGATGTAATGCAAATAATTAAACATAAAATCATGGTTGGCAGTTGATAGAAGAAGGGAGTTGGTTGGAACAGCTCATAGTGACAGTTTGTTCTTCCTTTGCCCTAATTAAAGTTGCAGAGAGGAAAAGCGTTGTCCTGCCTGGCTGGGTCCCAGTGCAGCAGAGACAAGGACCCCTTCCAGACCAAAGAAATTCCTTGATCACCGTCTGACCAACTGCTGGGGATAATTGCCTGGCTCTGATCTGCTTGGAAGGTGTTACCTTCCAAGCAGATCAGAGGCAGGCAATTATCCTTCAACCTTGCTGGAAGGGGTTAAAAATAAAAAAGACACTCCAAGGAGTTCTCAAGTCTTTTCCCAGTAAAGCAATAAAAATAGATATGACCTTCATAAACCATCAAATACTGAGCTTAACTGAATATTTTGCCTTTGCAGTTGGACACTAGAGCTAGGTGTACAACTTGGAGCCAAATGCTCATCAAATGATTGAGCTCTTTTGTCAGTTAACAAAGGAACCACGAACATACTTCAGTTTTGATGATTCTACTCATTGTGTTCAATTACTAAGTTCAAATATATTTCAGCTAATGGATAAGTCACCAATTTTTGGTTGCCCAAATCACATGGTGACTTCCCAACATAAGATCACATATTAAATTTGGACTCCAAGAGGAGACAGCCTAAAGGGACTTGCTTTTCTAGACACGGTTTTTGGGCTACCTAACTACTGGTTTGAGGAACCCTTCCATAGTCACTTTTTAAAATCTAGGCCAGAATGCTCTTTTAAAATTGAAAGTTGTGCAAGGGTTTCCAAATTACAGACTCATTCCAGTGACACTGCTGAGAATAAACTATCAACATTCCCATGAAGCTCTTAAATTTAAAGTGGTGCATACACAGCCGGAAGCCCTTCGAGCTGTTTTCCTTTGAATCCTCCTGAGTTGTTTTTTTTCCCTGAAGGCTTCATTGAGATTTACTGGACATAAATAAAAAAGTTAAACATTTCCTTTTCCAGTACATCACATCAATTGATACTTGACTTACAGACCTTCCAGGCCAAGAACGTTTTGCATTCTTAAGGGACTGTGTCTCCAAAATAAAGCTTTTTTTGGTATGTTTTCCTGTTTATGCTTACATTGTGTGGCAGTCGTAGTTTGCCTTTTTTGTTTCCATGCACAGCAAGAAGCAATTTCAATTAACATATAACAGATTCCTGTAAATTTTCTCTACTTGGAGAAGGTAAACAAGAAGTTTATGGGGCAGAGGAAGAATAAAAAAAAACAGAGTAAAAGTCATAAACAGGCTAAGCAGCTTCTTAAAAATCCTTTGCATAGAAGACACCTGTCTTCCAGCAGGCACAGGAGAAGCAGCAGCATGATAAAGCAGAAGAGGATATACTGAGACCCAACAGCAACTCAAGAGTGTGTGAAAAGCAATTGGCTTTTATCTGAAAGGCACGCCAACAGCAGAACCACCCATTCCTCTCCATCCGTGTCTGCAGGAAACATGATAAAAACCTTCACCAAAATATAAATAAGGAGTCAGGACCTGCCAGCTTGTTATTTTTTCTGACAGCTGTGCCACAGGGGCGCTGCCCGGGCTCATGTCCCTGCTGACTGGGGCACTAGAGATAGTGGAGGGCAGAGATGGTGCCCACCCTAAACTGGCTCTCACTGCTTGTTCTGGAGCTATGTACCTGAAGTCTTGTTTAGGGCCAGGAAGGAGGAAGACAGATTGGAGGCAGGCTGTGCTCTCCATTCAAAGCTTTGCTCTGCTCACCAGGAGCATCTGAATGCAGGCAACTGAAAGTGGTTCTCTGATTTTTGGTATTGTTTGTTGATCTGTATTCTTGTCTGCAGTCTCTCGTAATGGAGCACACAGCAAACCTTCCCACTTTTCCCACTCTGCTCTTCCAAACAGCAGTTCATCCAAACCCCAACTCTGGGTGCTCAGCCAGGAAAGGCCTCCACTTTCAGGAAACTGATTACTTCCACCAAAGCTGCCTTAGTAGCAAGTTTAGCGAATGAAGAATGCCCTAAGGAGAAAGGAGACAAGTGAGAGTTTGGCACAGAACATCCACCCCGCCCTGCTCACTGAACACCTGTCCCTCCCAGTGCAGTGAAAAACATTCACCAGGGCTGCCCCAGAGCTGGACCGAGAAGTCAGCCTGTCCTCAAACCCCATCCCAAGATCCTTCTGTGCGCTCCCCACCTCCCCCTGGCCAAGTCTTCTCTTCCCCAGGGCTTCCTACAGTGCAGGATGCTGCTGTCTGTATTATTCCAGGGAAAGGAACACAAGGTGAGGATCAGGATTCCAGCAGTTTGGTACTCTGGTCTGACACCTTACTTCTATGCTCAGAGGAGGACTTGGAGAAGAAGGCTGAACCATGAGGTCATGGTTTGTTAAAAGCTCTGAGCTCAATCTTTCTGCTGGTGGCTTGGTCTGCCTGTTCACTGGCAGTGCAGGACATCCCTTTCCATCTGTCCCCTGCCTGGCTGAGCACCTTGTAGCTGGCATGCTCCTTCCACAGCCAGCAGCACAGGGACCCCTCTTCCTGCAGCCTACCAGATCCCAACAGCACACACAAAACAAGAATTCTTGAATCTTCTTCCTCCAGCAAGCCTCAGCTTTCACTCCAGTTCCTCCACCTTACTGAAATCCAGTGCTATGCCAGGTGACTCAGGGCTCTGCAGAAATGTTGATCCCTTCAGCCTCACAGCTCTTCACTGCAGGCTGCCACCTTTAAGGGGAGAAATACCACACAGCAGCACCTGCTCAGTAAAGCATCAACAATCCAACAACCACACTGCAGAAGGACTGAGGGAGAAAACCAATGACAAGGACAGGTTTTGAGCTGTGAGAAGGAGTGGGGCACCTGGCAAGGACTGACAGTAAGAAGCAGTGGACTCAGTGACCAGGCTCAGCATTTCAGCAGTGACCATGGAGAGCCACAGTTGATGTTTCCAGACTTGACTGGCAACCAGGCACTATTAAAGCACCACTTATATAATTAGAAGGTTAATAGGTGTTACAAGCATGTTACCAGGTGTCGTGACTTGCTGGAAGCACATCCCAGAAGATAGCAGAAGCAATTATACTCTGCTCACTCTTCAGCTGTATCAACCACCTGTAGGCACTACTTACTTTCCTTTATGAAAGGAAACTTAGTACAAAGATGATTTGCTGTGTCCACATCACTGTGTATGTCCTCTGAGCCTGCCCTGCTCCCTCACAGAGTTTATCTTAAACATAGCCCAAAAAAGAAAACCAAACCAGCCATCAGAGACAAACTGTGCACTGCCTTTAATGAAGTAGAACCCTTGGATGGCATAACCTGCCATGGTGGAGAGAAAACAACAGAGCCAGCCACCTGAGGAACAACTGGGAGTTCACATGGCAGAACATGGTTGTTCTACTGACTTTCAGGCAAAAATCAATTCTCCTGGGAGGACCAGAAACAATAGGAAGTGGGAAATTAAGATTCAGGTGGCATATAAATAGCTAAAAAAGCCTTGTCCTTACTCATACAGGAAGCGTGGGACAGGGAACTACTGTATCACTTGTCTTAGGCCAAGATTTGCAAGATCTTCTGTACAAGCTGGACTACCCAAAAGGAACTGGAGGTTTCTAGGGAGCTTCACAAACCTGGTCCAAGGCAAGGCCTATAAAGCTTCTGAGGGAAGAAGCCATGATCAGCCCAGAGCTGGGCAACAAATGAAACAGCATCACCACACGCCCTGTGAGCAGGACACAGAGAGTGAAAAGCCAAGCAAGTCCAAACCCGCAAGGGCATGACAGCATTTTTCAGGAACTTGCAACACCACCTTCAGGGTGGGGATGAGCAACCGGTGTCCACACCTTGTTGCACTGTAGTCATTCACATGGGATCATGCTGGAACACCTGCTGCACATGAATGTGCATTTAGGGACCCTGACACCCCCCACAAAGGCAATTCACTCCTCACAAACAGGCACCAGCTCCCACCCTGCTTGCCAACAAAACACAGAGAGGTGTCACAGGCTCTGTGCACGGTGCTGGCATGTGGACAGGACAGGCAGGAGGCAGCTCTTCAGTTTAACAGGCTGTCTAAAAAGGTTCATAAAAGCAACTGTTTGTAGAGAACTCCCCAACACAAAGCTTCAGCACACTCCACCCAGCCCACATGAAAGGTGAGCATGAGGGACAGGCCAAGCCTCTGACTGGTCCAGGCTCCAGCTATGGGTCTAGGTAGAGGAAAGAAACACCCCACCCCAATAACCCACTTACACTAGAAGAAAAGGAGGTCTGTGGGCTTCTGCATTTTCAGCAATGCCATGCAACTTTAAATACTCAATGGGTATGCTGGCTGCTTAGGGAAGAAAATCACACAGCCCTTTTCTTCTCCTTATTTAGTGTCTTATTCAAATAAAATCTGTGAAATTAAACACTCCATCCATGCACTGCAGCTTGAATCAGTATACAAATGACAAAAAATTACTTGTTAAAAACACCTTTCCTTGTTTGGTTTTTTTTTTTTTTCCTCAGACTACTCCTCCTCTGGTAACACAAAGCAGAATCTGTCTCTTCCCCTCTGCTGAAGCTTACATCAAACAGCAAGTTCACCACATCATAAGTTACAATTCAGGCTACTCCTGGAAAAAGATGCTCCTTTCCTCACTAAATGCTGAAGCTCTCCTGGCATTTCTCTTCCTATTGTCTGTATCCAACCCTGTATTTATAAGATTAACCTCAAATTAGGACAGTTTCCTCATTCTTTCTTCACTCTTACTCCAGCCTGGCTCCTGGGAATCTGATCCTATCTTCCACAGAGGTTCCTCCCTGTTGATAGGAAATATCTAGTGTATGTGGGCAGGAAGCGCCAACAGGGGATAATGAGGATTAAGAGAGAGTCCTTGTTAGGACTTATCATCACAGCAGATCAGGAGACTCAGTGGGCCATTTGATCAACAGGAACATTAGGAACTGTCTCACACTCCCACACAGCGTCTCGCCCCACTGTGGTGTGTGTTAAAGTAGCACACGAGGGCTTTGAGGGCAGGATGAGTCGGCCTGACCCATCCAGCTGCTTCCACATCATCCAGTTCTCCTTTACCAGAAGCGCAGTACTTCAGGAGTCATGGGAGAGGATGGGTTTAACAAAGCAAATCCTTTTGGAGCTGGTTTTCTGCCCAAATGTTTCTCAGAGGATACAAGAGGCAGGTCTGTTGACCCAGGCAATGGTTTTCCATCACCTAATGATTGTGTCCATTTCAGAGTGACTGGTGCTGGTGAAGAACAAGGCTGGTACAAGGACCTTCTCATTGCTTGGGCTGTCTGTCTGCAATGTCCATTCGATATCAGATGTACAACAGCCTCAGGAGTCTTCTCCTCCAGCAGCTGTCTTTACTGAGCAAGCACAGTATCTGCACGTTCCAAAAAAGCCCTTCACACACACACAATCACAGAGTGCCACACAGCTTATTCTAAGACAGCATTTTTTTGAAAAGCAGAAAAATCACAGCCACTAACTATTATTGGATCAATCTTCATCCTACCCTGTTGTCCTGTTTTCTATGGTACTTCACAGCAGAACCAAGGGTAAGAACAGGCCATGGAGCTGTGTGTAGCATGTAGCTGTGTTACATTACTAATGCTTGCCCAGGCCCCAGCTCTTTGCAGATGTGGGTATGCCATGATTGATATTTAAAGATACTGCGTTGTATTGTAAATATCAATACACGATATTGAAGATACTGTGTATTGATATTTAAAAGCATCCAGTGGATTTCCCTTACATTAGTTATTCTAATGCCCTCCAAACCCCCAAACGCTTTTGTTCGCCACATATTCATACAATGCATTTATTCAGTTTGTTCTTAGCTCTTTTTCAAGACAGTTTGGGGTTTTTTGACCATAGTCGGAATCAAGCTTTCTCCCACAGCACAGTTCATTGGACTTCTGAGATCTCCCTCCCTTGTGACATTATCCCATTCTGAGATGGATTGCTTTGCTCTCATTTTTCTCAGCATCATATGCTACAACCCCACTACTCCATAATGCAAAGGCTTCCTACAGCTAGGCAGTGCAGCTTTTGGATTTTGCTATGCTGAATAGTCAACAGAAAATTTCATCTGATACTTATTCCTCTTTTTCATTAGCAGACACATTCAACAGTTTTGGCTCTTCACAGGCCTTTGTTGTACTTGTTGTATCTGACTGATGCCAATCCTCTGCTGGGAAAGTTGGTCCCTCACCTCTCTACCTTTCTTTCTCATATTTTGGCTTATTTTTTACTGAATAGGGACCCCCTGATGAGATGTCCCAAAACCCTGAGAGCGCAACAGGACCTCTGGTCATGGTCCAGCCATCCATGGAGTCTTGAAAAAAACCCATTTTCTCAGCTGGTCTTTCAGCCCAACTCCTCATCTTCCAGGCTGCAATAATGTTCTCCAGGAAGGCTCCCAGTTGTGTCAGGGAGGAAAGGAGAAGGGCTGCAGCCCAGGCACAGCACAGTCCTTAACACTGGAGCCACAAAAGGCAATGGAGCAGCCAGGTAAGGAGGCTGAGCTCCTCTGGCTGAGCATCCTCGCCTCTGCTGAGTTCAGCTTAAGCCAGACCACTGCAAGAAATCTCTGGAGTTCAATTTCTTTTTCCTGGGGGGAGCTTGAACTGGTCCCCACAGAAACTCTACCAGGACTTCCTCCTGCAATGCCCAGGGGCAGCCACAAAGAGAAGGGCCATTAGTCAGCAACCCAATTTGTTCCCAAAGCCTGGAAAACAACTAGAGAGAGGAAAAAATGTGGTTCTTCCTATTACCCCCTCACTGGATATTATTCCATAACCCATGGAGATGAACAAAGTGTTTCCTGCTGGTAACAATCTCCCATCCTGCTACCCATCCCCAGCTCCTCCCCACATTGTCCCTGTGGATTTCGTCTTCAATTCCCAGCCACACCATGCTTTGGCAAAGGGCACCTTCATCCTCCTCCACCCCAGAGCTCTCTGTGTTCCAGCATCCAGAGAACAAGCCTCAGGAAAAGCACCTTCCTCTTCTTTCACAGGGAGAGGCTGATTGCTTCAGATAATGGCATCAAGTGAACACGTCGGACACTGAGCAGCACGATTAGTTCCCACAAAGACTGGGCAGTAATGAGAGTGGTTAAAGACAGGTAATGAGTGGGTGGCACCTGTCAGCTTCATAATGCAGATTATAATTTGTTTATTACTCTTGCTGCTGCTTTCACTGCTGTTGGAATGCAATTAATTAATAGCACTGATGAGCCCTGCTCAGTATCTGTCATCCCTGACCTACAAACATCCCAGGGCTGCCAAGCACAAGCAGTAGCACTGGACATGTGGTGGCATCACATGGACAGCAGGAAGGATCCCACAGGTCGAGGAGAAAAGTTAAGCATTTGATAAACAAACCCAAATGCTTCCCCACAAGGAACAGGCTTACAGAAATTCTAGAGATTCAAGAACCATCATCCAGAGTTTTGTTGACTGGAAACTGAAAGCATTGGTTCTGTGTCAGGAGTGCACACTGGCAAACTGCAGGTTCAAACATGACTGACTTTGTTTTATTAAAAGTATCAATATTTTTAAGTCTTGCTTCATGCACACACTCTTCATGCACCTCTGTCCACTTTCACCAGATTTAAACTAGACTGGATATTTCTCTAAGTTGCCTGAGCAGCTGGCAACACAGGAAAGTAACAAGCTGGCTGCTGTGGGCTTTTTCAGATACAGGGGTTCTGCAGATCCCCCTTATTTGAACCCCCATCATCATGGCACCACTGCCTTCAGCATGTCCTGCTGCAGCACTCACAGGATGGAGACAACCAGGGTGAGCTGAGAGCCTCAGCCTCACTAACTTTCAATAACAGCTCCCCTCCCCAAACCACTTAAATCCTTCCCCTTGCAAAGAAAAACACACCACAGAGACATAAATAAAAACCAGTGGTGAACTTCAGCACTGAACTGCACTA